CATGGCAGCTCCTGTCGAGAGTTACTACCACTCTCTATCATCCATGAATCTATCTAGCCTCCTTTTAAAACTTTCCAGCGTTCCAGCACTTACTACAAAGTTGCTAAGCTTGTTCCACTCGTTCACCACCCTATTTGTGAACCAGTTCCTTCCTATCTCCCTCCTAAACCTAACCTTATCCAACTTAAATCCGTTGCTCCGAGTCCTATCCTGCTCGGATATTATAAGAACTTAATCTATATCTCCTTTATTGATTCCTTTCACCCACTTAAATATCACAGTTGAAGAAATTTTTATTATCATCCTTATGGTAACAACAACAACAACAATGTGTAAACAACTGGCTAGATGCTCTTAGTAAATATTACCCGGTAAAAACATCCAGTCTTTACCAGGAACAGTCTATTCCACTCGTCGCCTGAAATGACCCTGTAATTATATATATATATATATATATATATATATATATATATATATATATATATATATATATATATATATATATATATATATATATATATATATATATATATATATATTTATCGCCATTAAAGTTAGTTTTATATATTTTTAAAAGTAAATTGATTCAGGGGATTAGATTTACCAAGAATGAAATACTTAGTGTACGTGGGGAGGGAAATTACTGGGAGTGGATAAATCTCCTCGAACTAATTACTACTTCGTTTATTTTCATCACTACACACACACACACACACACACACTAACTCGCTACCATAAAATACAAACATTATATCATATGATTTCCTTAAATGAATAAGTATTTTGTGCAATTCATTTCCTTCTTATATACAAATAATTAACCACTTGTATAAGATATTGTAAAATGAAGAAGAAAAAAATTAACTCCTTTATAATTACAGTAATCTCGTTGGGATAATTGTTGTTTTTAACACATGATGTACGGGAACGCTGAAGGTTGAGATAATGGCCAACATAGGATTCGCTTCTCTGTGTCTGAACTCTTTTGTTTACACCGACTTACTGCATTATATCCGATGATTATGTTAGCCAATAAAATATTATTATTACTAGTAACGATAATTGTTGAGTATGAGGACACATAAACAAACATTATGTTAGGCTGTAAGTCATGTCATGTTTATTGGGTGTGCCTGCCCGTATACAGTGTGTTGTGCTGAGATGAGAGGCCCAGAGTAGGTTGAGGTGTTGGGTGGTGTAATGGGATCTTGTTTGCGTATAACAAACCTGACCTAGCGATTTTGAATAGCCCGCCTGACATGTGAGTGCCCGGCAGAGCACCGCTTCCTCACTGTAGCTATCCCCATCATAGTGCCAACACCTAACCTGTTTCTCCTGAAGACTTTCAACACGTAAGTTTAACTTGTACTTGTTGTGTACACAGGTAGACTGTGTCCACTGCATCGTTTATCATTGTGACGACATAAAATATGACAAATTAAGTACTCATTGTACGTGTTAAGATTAGACTAATTACATAGCTATGATTGTTATGTAAATATATATTGGATTAAACATACATGTATAATTGCCTATGTATGACTTATTTGAAATACTAAAATGAATTGTATTCAACAGGTTTGACCGAATTATAATGTTCGAGTTCAACGTCACGATTCTAAATATTCCTTTAACCGCCTGATTGGCGGTTACAATAATTATATTAGCCAATGGATATTATTGTTAGTAGTACCGGTAGCGATAATATAGAATTGGTTCCGCTGGGGTGGTGTGGGGGTTGTGGGTGGTGGTAGGGGCGAGGGAGGTGATGGTGGTGGTAAAAGAGGGTGGTGATTGTAGTAGAAGGGGGGGGGGTGCAGTAGTTAGAGGGAGGGACGTGATAGTGGTAGAGGAAGGGAGGGCGGGTGATGATGGTGGTTGGAGAGGTGTTGGTGATGGAGGCGGCAAGCAGTGGTGGGGGGATTACAACGGCTAGTTTATTATGCACCTCCGACTCATTACAGAGTAGAGTTTACAAAGGGTCAGTGTAACTAACCCCCCGTGGTCAGTGTATTGGGGGCGGCGTTGGTGGTGGTGGTGGTGGTGGTGGGGCGTTGGTGGTGGTGGTGGTGGGGCGTTGGTGGTGGTGGTGGTGGTGGGGCGTTGGTGGGGCGTTGGTGGTGGTGGTGGTAAGTACACATTCCACGTGAGAAAAAACAAAAACAACTTCTAAATCAATTAGCATTACCAGCTCGGATGTTTGCTCTCTCTTAAACCCGAGAACTCATCCTTTCTTCTACCCCACCTCACATAGGTCTCGCCCAGCTGTGATACAAACTACTTAAAGAGTCTATCTTGACAGACCAAGTGTTACAATATCTATATTTTCACCCAACTACGTCTTACAGATGTTCCGAACCATATCATCACACAGCTAGTATCTACATAACATGATTTAGTAGTCAACGCTAATTTGTGTCTGACATCCCCTTACATCAGCTTAAAAGATTTTGTAACACACACTAACCTAACCTAACCTAATTATGATCTTCATCAGTTTAGGACCTGAACTCTTTTTAACTCGATTTTCCAAGTAGACTGAGAGCCTTACGACTAACAGTCCGACAGAGTCTGGACTTCCTTCACCCACTCGTTTACCTCTCCCGTTACGGACTCGGTCTTGAAATCATTCGTGCCGATTACCACACCTAGATGTCTTTGGCCGTCCTTTTTTATTTTGACCTCACCTCCGTTGAATACCTCCATAGCCCGGTCGTAGTATTCTGGCGGTACAGTAAGGAAGGACTTGCTGGCATTTGGGTGGTAGCCTATTTGTGGACCGCCCGATGTTACCAGTTCCGTCCACTTTTTGATGTCCTCCACTTTTCCTGATCCTGTAAGGTCATCAGCATATGCTACTTGTTTAGCCTTGGTAGTCTTATAATATCATGTATATTGGAGCACGGATAGGCTTAATGCATACATTGCCATAGTGACTGGGCACCCCTGTGACTCTATGGTGGTGTCTCATTTTAGGCCTTGAAGCTTGTTATATAAAGCTTGGACACTTGATGATGTTGTGCAGTGTAGCCTTGCAGTCTAGTACGTTGAAAGTGTTGGAGGCGCCTACCAGGAGTACAGTCTAACAATCATACTCCTCAATTTATCTTTCTCATGGCGTGAATGGCAGCTTCACCCCCATCCTGGTGACCAGCACTGCTCTGACACCATCTTTGACCACCTCCATTACACATTTACCAATAATTCGTCTTAGCACTTCCCCGCCCCTATAGGCTTACATCCTGGGTTTTTGTCCATAGAAATGAAGCGGCTGACCGTTAGAGCTTGTGGGTGTCGGCAGCAGAAGTTACCAGCTTTCTTGCGAGGGCGGCAATCGCGTTCAGAGGTCGCCCATCGCATCGCTAAACTTGTTACTGCTGGGGATGACTCTCCATCCACTGGCATCCGGGCCTGATAGTCCGGTTCCTTCCTGGGTCTTCAGTGCGTTTTTCCAGACCATATCTCATGTTATTTTCTATAACATAACTGCGTCTGGCGGGGCATAACCACCCTGTAACCTGATGCCTTTCTCCTCACCTGCAGAAGGGTGTTACTCCTTCAGAAGCTTCATGGTCTCTATATTGGCAGCACCCCACCTGAAGATTCCTCTGTAAGAGATCTACTACCACTACCATTCTCTTACAACTACTACCACCATCAGGCTCTGGAGACCGGTTAAGCACCATAGCTTACCATGTACGGTATATTATCATTAGTACACTGCACATCCTCGCCCCCCCTGGTACCAGTCCATGAATAATGTTACACACTTAAGCCGGTTCAGGTGTCAGCTTACCTAACCTAACCTTCACTGGTGTGTGTGTGTGTGTGTGTGTGTGTGTGTGTGTGTGTGTGTGTGTGTGTGTGTGTGTGTGTGTGTGTGTGTGTGTGTGTGTGTGTGTGTGTGTGTGTGTGTGTGTGTGTGTGTGTGTGTGTGTGTGTGTGTGTGTGTGTGTGTGTGTGTGTGTGTGTGTGTGTGTGTGTGTGTGTGTGTGTGTGTGTGTGTGTGTGTGTGTGTGTGTGTGTGACTTTACTCAGTTTACTGGGAAATACGTCTACTGGGAGAACCGGTTTACCAGTCCACCACCACCGGTACATCCAGCCTCCAATAATGACTCCACAATAATAGTAATGGTCTGCAACTCGTTCTGGACGACACCAGTCAATACAAAATAAGACAAAGAAGTGTGTCCTGGCTTTCATTGGCGGAGACAGCGAAAGTTTCTGTAATTGTTTGGGTTTCAATATGTATATAAATATGTATATCGATATGTATGATTAGGTATAGATGTGTATAGATGTCAATTTGATATTTATGAACTTTATATAGGAGATACTGCATAATAACATAGGAGATAATTATTATAACATAGTCACCGCTTCAGTATACCTGTGTTATGTATAAGGAATGTACCCAACCCAACCCAACCCAACCCAACCCAACCCAACCCAACCCAACCCAACCCAACCCAAAGAAATATTACTCTTCATAAACTTGAACTTGTAAAAGGTCAAAGACTTTAAGATTATCTCATGACTAAAACACGACAAAGGCAATTGTTTCTTTTTTTCTGTTATTTATGTGCTCAGACCTGGACAGGATTCTCAAAGGTTCCTAACACAATTTTCCTTTTAACTGAGACTTAGATATGCACATGAATGTTAGATGTGTGTACATAATTGGTGTACACATTTCTAGTCCGGTCTCCATGTACGTATACGTTTTATAGGAATAATCCCGGGGCTGGTTGCGTTTTCTTATTCCGCCCACTTAGAAAAGTATATCAAATGTGTGTGTGTGTGTGTGTGTGTGTGTGTGTGTGTGTGTGTGTGTGTGTGTGTGTGTGTGTGTGTGTGTGTGTGTGTGTGTGTGTGTGAAGGCAGTACAAGATGATTTTTAATAGTGACTGTTTATTTAAGAGAGAGAGATAACCTGCCTGCCACTTACCCGTCTGCCCACCCTGAGAGAGAGTGAGAGAGATAACCTGCCTGCCACTTACCCGTCTGCCCACCCTATTGTTATGGTGATTCATCATAGTTATGGCTTGATTCTTCTGCCGTTTTCCCTTTTTTCTTCTCTTGTTCTTCTTTCTTAATCTCATTCTCGCCATTTTTCCCTGATTATTCTCTCGCTTCTTGTTACTCGATCTTCTCCTTGTGTTTCTCGTCTGGAGGCTGACGTGTGTGGGGAGGTAAGGGGTGTAAGGCTGCACTTCCCGATGGTGACGAGCGCTGTTGGCAGACCACCCGTCGGTGTCTCCTTCAGGGTCCTCCTCTGTGCCGCGCCTGAGTCGACCTGGAACCTATTGGGGGGGGAAAAAAAAGAAGAAAAAGATACGATGGTCATTGGGAGTTTATAGATTGAAGTAGATTGGGTGAAATAGATTGGGTGAAGTAGGTTGGGTGAAATAGATTGGGTGAAATAGATTGGGTGAAATAGATGGGTAGTAGGTTGGGTGAAATAGATTGGGTGAAATAGATTGGGTGAAATAGATTTGGGGTTGGTGAGAGAGGAGGGTAAGTAGGGTAGGTAGTTTTGGTGGATAGAGATAAAGAGAAGGATGTGTGGATGTTGTGAGAGAGAGAACGTGTGTATGATGTTGTGAGAGAGGAACGTGTGTAGGATGTTGTGAGAGAGCGTGTGTAGGATGTTGTGAGAGAGAAGACGTGTGTAGGATGTTGTGAGAGAGAACGTGTGTAGGATGTTGTGAGAGAGGACGTGTGTGGGATGTTGTGAGAGAGACATGTGTAGGATGTTGTGAGAGAGAGAGAACGTGTGTAGGATGTTGTGAGAGAAACGTTGTAGGATGTTGTGAGAGAACGTGTGTGAGGATGTTGTGAGAGAGCGTGTGTAGGATGTTGTGAGAGAACGTGTGTAGGATGTTGTGAGAGAGAGAACGTGTGAGGATGTTGTGAGAGAGAAAGTGTGGAGGATGTTGTAGAGAGAGAGAACGTGTGTAGGATGTCGTGAGAGAGAGAGAGCGTGTGTAGGATGTTGTGAGAGATCGTGTGTAGGATGTTGTGAGAGAGGGAGTGTGTAGGATGTTGTGAGAGAGAGAACGTGTGTAGGATGTTGTGAGAGAGAGATAACGTGTGTAGGATGTTGTAGAGAGAGGAACGTGTGGGGATGTTGAGGAGAGAACGTGTGTAGGATGTTGTGAGAGAGAACGTGTGTAGGGATGTTGTGAGAGAGAGAACGTGTGTAGGATGTTGTGAGAGAGAGCATGTGTAGGATGTTGTGAGGAGAACGTGTGTAGGATGTTGTGAGAGAGAGAGAACGTGTGTAGGATGTTGTGAGAGAGAGAACGTGTGTAGGATGTTGTGAGAATAATTCCTGTCCGGTGTCCTCTTTCATGTTGACAAGTTGGACTCCCCAATTTAAGACCGGCCGTGGAGTAGCGACTGTGCCCTTCCTCCTCCCCCCTGCCTCCTCCGCTCCTCCTCCTATTGTTCCTCCTGCTCCTCCTCCTCCTGCCGGTGGTCAAGACTCGGGTCATGCAGGTTAATGGTCGGTCTACGTGTATTACTCCTGGCCTCACCGACCACCCTCGGCGCCCACCACTACCACCCTCGGCGACCACCACTAAAACCCTTGGCGCCCATCACCACCACTATTACTACCACCACCACCACCAACATTACTTCTATTACTACCACCACCACACATCACCACACCACACCACCACCACACACACCACCACACACCACCACCACCACACACCACCACCACACACACCACCACCACCACACACCACCACCACCACACACCACCACCACACACACCACCACCATCACACACCACCATCACCACCATCACACACCACCACCACACCACCACCACCCACCACCACCACCACCACCACCACCACACACCACCATCACACACCACCACCACCCACCACACACCACCACCACCACCACACACCACCACCACCATCACACACCACCACCATCACACCACCATCACACACCACCACCATCACACCACCACCACACCACCACCACCACCACCCACCCACCACCACCACCACCCACCACCACCACCACCACCACACACCACCATCACACACCACCACCACCACCACCACCACCACCACCACCACCACACACCACCACCACCATCACACACCAACACCATCACACCACCATCACACACCACCATCCACACACCACCATCACACACCACCACCACCACCACACACCACCACCATCACACCACCATCACCACACCACCACCACCACCACACCACCACCATCACACACCACCATCACACACCACCACCACCACCACACCACCACCACCACCACCACACCACCACCACCACCACCACCACCACCACCACACCACCACCACCACCCCACCACCACCACCACCACCACACCACCACCATCACACACCACCACCACCACCACCATCACACACCACCACCATCACACACCACCATCACACACCACCACCACCACACCACCATCACACACCACCATCACACACCACCACCATCACACACCACCACCATCACACATCACCACCAGCACACCACCATCACACCACCACCACCACCACCACCACTCACCACCACCATCACACACCACCATCACACACCACCACCACACACACCACCACCACACACCACCACCATCACACACCACCACCACACACCACCATCACCACACCACCACCACCACCACCATCACACACCACCATCACACACCACCACCACCACCACCATCACACACCACCACCACCACCATCACACACCACACACACCACCACCATCACACACCACCACCACCACCACCATC